CAATACTATACTGTACTATACTATACTATACTATACTACCATACCATACCATACCATACAAAACAATACTATACTGTACTATACTATACTATACTATACTACCATACCATACCATACCATACAAAACAATACTATACTGTACTATACTATACTATACTATACTACCATACCATACCATACCATACAAAACAATACTATACTGTACTATACTATACTATACTATACTACCATACCATACCATACCATACAAAACTGTACAATACTATTCTGTATGATACAAAACAATACCCTACCATACCATACCATACCATACCATACCATACCATACCATACCATACCATACCATACCATACCATACCATGCCATGCCATACAAAAACATACCATAACATACCATACCGTACAATACTATACTATACCATGCACTCTACAATTCCATACAAAACTGTAAAATTCTATTCTGTATGATACAAAACAATACCATACCACACACCCTACAATGCCATACCATACAAAACAATACTATACTATACTACCATACCATACCATGCCATACCATACCATACAAAACAATACTATACTATACTACCATACCAAACCAAACCAAACCGCACCACACCACACCATACCAAACCAAACCAAACCAAACCAAACCATACCATACCATACCAAACCAAACCANACCAAACCAAACCATACCATACCATACCAAACCATACCATACCATACCATACCAAACCATACCATACCATACCATACCATACCATAGGAAGGCAAGAATTTGTAAAACAAGAGTCCAAAAACCAAAGACCAAAAACATACATGCTGAACTCATTGATAACTTTAAATTGTCCGTATGTGTTAGTGAGAGGGTGAATGGTTCTTTGTCTCACTTGTCTCTGTGTCCCTGTGATGGACTAGAGACCTGTGCCCCCCCACCACCCCAACAAAATGACTGCTGGTGATAGACACCAGATCCCAGGAAAGAAAAAGTGGGCAGAGAAAATGGATGAAAAACAACAATGAACATGGGATAGTATCACATGATGTAATACAATATACCATACCATAACACAAACACAACATGATACAGTATGATTTATCACAGTAATATGACAAGATTAATACATGACATGATATATGATACGACACAATACACCAAGTTCTAGGTAGGTACCGGGTGAGTTATGTCCTGGTAACTACTTATCTGTATCATGGAATGTTTTTTGAAAAAAGAAACATGATTTAAAAAAAGGATATTAGTTCTGAATGACTGAACCAATGTGGTTGAAATCTGAATGTGTGTTTGTTGGACAGGATTACTTTCTGTGGGATCTGCTGTCAGAGGTACATGAACTCCAACCTCAACGAGGAATCTGTCAAGACAATCAAATACGCCATGAAGGTCTTTGCAAACGGATCGGAGACGATGATATTTGTCTTCCTCGGCATCTCCGCCATCGATACGACAATCTGGGTTTGGAACACGGGCTTCATCCTCCTCACGCTCCTCTTCATCTTAATCTACAGGTTCATGGGTGAGATGTTCATCCTCGRCCGTCACGTCTGAGCGGAGTCACATCCAGATGTTTAAACTCACAGTGCACTGCCTCTGGGTGTGTTTCAGGTGTGTTTTTCCTCACCTGGTTCATGAACAGGACCAGACTGGTCCCCATTTCGCTGATTGATCAGGTRATCATGAGCTACGGTGGCCTGCGAGGGGCTGTGGCTTATGGGCTGGCAGTGCTGCTGGATGAGGCGAAGATAAAGGAGAAGAACCTGATGCTGTCCACAACGCTCATCGTTGTCTATTTCACYGTAATTCTTCAGGTGAGCACTCCGCGGTTGTTATACGACAGTTTTAGAAAACTTTTTGAAATGTATTTCCAAGAGTTATAGGAAACTTAATTTAGAATTCTTTTGATCAGAAACAGGAGTGGGTATAAAAATAACATTTTAGAGTGGAAAAATTTCAAAATAAAGTTCCTCAACAGAAGCTTCAGAAGACTTTGAATCTCAATCATCAAAATATTTCAAGACCTCCGTACTCAAGAGAAACCGTCCAATCTGTTATCAGCACACAGCTTAAAAACCTGCCTCTCTGATGGTATGGGGGTACATTAGTGYCTCTGCCATGGYCAGTATCATCCTAGAAAAGCATCTACAGGTTTAAGAACTTCTGTTTCCACCCAGGACCTCCAGAACTTCTCAGATCTTTAATACTTTAAGCCATTGTGTTGCTGAGATCAGATTTTGAAAATACTCCATAAAAACCAAATCTGTGAACATGTCCTGACCTGCAGGGCATAACCATGAAACCTCTGGTGAAGTGGCTGAAGGTGAAGACGGCGGCACAATCTGAGCTCACACTGATTGCAAAGCTGCAGAACCGGGTAAACTTCTGAACTAGATCATTTAGATCCACAAACTCCTCCACATGTCCTAATCTCTTTTTTATATTTTCAGGCATTTGAACACACTCTGGTTGCCATTGAGGACATTTCAGGACAAATTGGACACAACTATATGAGGGACAAGTAAGTCCAGAAACCAAAACTGATTTAAAAACCCTGAACAGGTGAGAGGAGTCAGTGATTTCTGCTCACACAGGTGGTTTAAGTTCGAGGAGAAGTACATGACGTGGTTCCTGGTGAAAGCCTCGGTGAGGAAGAATCAGGACCGCCTCAACAACGTCTTCCACCAGCTGAACCTGAAGGACGCCATGTCCTACGTAGATAAGGTAACCGGGTTCTGTGGGTCTGAGGTCAGTGTGGGGTCGTAGATAAACAGGAAGTCTTCGTCTTGTTCAGGGCGAGCGCAGAGGTTCGCTGGAGTTCATCCGCAACGAGGGCGCCTTCATCGACTTCAAGAAGAAGTTTGATGAGGAGATGTCCGAGGTCATGCCTGACATCATGGCCAACATGTCCGACGACAGAGCTCCACCCAGAAGGTGAGGAGGTTTTCCACACAGGAGAGTAGGTGGACTCACAAAATGATCCAGTCTTATTTAGTCAACTCCATTCAAGAAGATAGCCACAATTAGCTGATCTAAGTTAGCAAACAGCTGATCTAAGTTAGCAATCAGCTGATCTAAGTTAGCAATCAGCTGATCTAACTTAGCAATCAGCTGATCTGAGTTAGCAATCAGCTGATCTAACTTAGCAATCAGCTAATCTAACTTAGCAAACAGCTGATCTAATTTAGCAATCAGCTGATCTAACTTAGCAATCAGCTGATCTAACTTAGCAATCAGCTGATTTAACTTAGCAATCAGCTGATCTAAGTTAGAAAACAGCTGATCTAATTTAGCAATCAGCTGATCTAAGTTAGCAATCAGCTGACCTAAGTTAGCAAACAGCTGATCTATGTTAGCAATCAGCTGATCTAAGTTAGCAAACAGCTGATTTAACTTAGCAATCAGCTGATCTAAGTTAGCAAACAGCTGATCTAACTTAGCAATCAGCTGATCTAAGTTAGTAATCAGCTGACCTAAGTTAGCAATCAGCTGATCTAAGTTAGCAAACAGCTGATCTAAGTTAAACAGCTGATCTAAGTTAAACAGCTGATCTAATTTAAACAGCTGATCTAATTTAAACAGCTGATCTAATTTAAACAGCTAATGTAACTCAGCCTTTAAGCTTCCATCTGAAGCTGAAGAAGTGTCTCTGTGTAAACACCTCCCCCTGGTGGCAGCAGCATGTTCCAGTATTTCATCTTCCTGAAACTGACTCCTCCTCAGTGAAGCTGAAGTTGTTGATG